TCGGGGGGGTACGGGCTGAAATTCTGCCCCGCCGCTGGGCCGTTCAGTTTTGGAACATAAGCCCAGGGAGGGGAAGGGAGAGACGTCAAGTCCCAATTCACCAAATTCTCCTCCAGGGCACGACCTTGATGTTTCTGACCCACTGTGCAGGAGGCCTGCGCCCCCTCAGCTCTCTGCCAAGGCTTTGCCACTGTCCGGGGCCCCGGCCTGTGGTCGGCAATTTGCAGCCGTGGCTATGTCTCAGTGTGAGGTTGTGAGCTGCAGGCTCCGTGCATGCTTCACAGAGCAGCCACGCGCGTGCGCCACGGCCAGCACACACCAGCTCCCGCCTGTTCAGGAGAGCTGCTTGTACAGAGGTGCGGCTTGCACACTCCTCTTTCAGTGACCTCATGGTGGTGCCTTGAAATTCGTGTGTGGTGCTGTCGGACCAGCACGGCCCTGCATCAACGCGACCTTCAGCAAGTCTGAAGTCAGAATGCACGGGAGGGAGCGGGACCTGGGGGTAGATCATTCGTAAATGTGTGCAGCTGCCGTTCTGCGCCTGCTCTGCCCCGGGCCCTGGGAGTGGGTCTGCAGGCCCGGCACCTGTCCTGACCCTCCCAGCCTTCCTCACCTCCATTCCCACCCCGCTGGACGACACACAGACTTCTATCAGAGCACACTTACCTGCTCACACTCTAGTTCCTCCACCGGCTTTGAAATCAGGAGTCTGTCAGTTACCCCATGACCGTGACCGTGACCGTGACCGTGACCATGTGAGCAGGTCCTGCTGGCTGAGGAAGGCGTGTGCTGGTGCCTGGCAGGAGGTCGGCTGCAGCCCAGAGCTGCAGAGCCGGCTCAGCCATCCGGGTGGTGCACTGCCCAAATACAGAGGCACGTTGCATCGTCAGTTCACTGAGGAGTCAGGCCCAGAAAGGGCCTTGGTCTCTCCGCAGTCCCCTGAGAATGACCATCGTCTTCCTGACCAGACCCCAGAGTGCAGGAGAGCTTGTGGGACTCTGGGTGACCTGCAGAGGCAAGGTGGCACCGCCAGGATCTGGCCCTGAGGCACGGATGGCCAGGTCCGAGAGGGAGAGCTGCAGAAACCACTCTCCTGCCACCTGACCAGCCCTGTGCACCTGCACAATGTCTGGGTGGCTCCCTCCACCCTGGCATAGCTGAGCTTCACTGTGCCCGGTGCTCTGAGCCCAGCAGGGGAGGCCACTGAGCATGGTCCAGACAGAACTTCCTGCCTCTCCCCACTCCCACTCTGCCCTAGCAGTTCTCCAGGAACAGACACCTGCCTCTCCTCACACCTACCTCCTCTGGCTGCTCTGGCCATTCTGTGGCAGCTGGGGCTGGACCTGCTCGGAGTCTCTGGCACCTAAGCCACTTCTTGCTCCCTGGCTACCACAAACACTGGGCAGTAAGCTCAGGTGACATCCTCACAGAGGCGTGGACAGTGACGGGTTGGGCACCTGTCCCATGGGGAATCAGGACTGCTCTGCTTAGCAAAGGGGGATCTAGGACCCCCCCCCCAGTCCTTAATTGGCGGAGAGGATACCTCCACTTCCTACCTTCCCTGGGGTCAGAACCAGGTACAGTGGGTAGCAGGAAGGGGGACAGGCATCAATCAGGCATCTGTACCCTGCCAGAACCTTGTCTCAGCTCTTCGCAGGGCTGCCAGGTAGATGATAGAGCAAGGATCCTTGGCTCCAAGAGGGTAGAAGCTGGCTTTGGCACTGGAGCCATCGACTCCATTCTCGTTCACGGCTTCCCTCCCAGCATAATGGGAAGGTGCCTCAGGAAATGGAGAGTTCACTGTCACTGGTCCTTATAGGCAGAAGCAGAGCCAGGGTGACCACCTGGTCGAGAGAGTTTGTTATGCAAGAAACTTGAGCATCCTGCTGAGGGTCGAACTAGCAGGTCTAAGGCCCCTTCTAGCTCTGATGGGAAACCATTTCCCAGATGTCCGTGTTGCTACAATCCTTGCTAATCTCAGCACACCTCTGCTCTCTCCACAGGTGTCGTACGCCAAGTGCGGCCCATTGTGGGTCCGTTTCACGCCGTCCTGAAGCTGGAGATGAACTACGTGGTCGAGGGTGTAGTCTCTCACAGAAATGTCGTCAATGTTCACATCTTCGTCTCTGAGTACTGGTTCTGAGGGCTGGACCATGGTGCAGCCAAGGGTGTGCCCCCAGGCCAAGTCATTGCCACTAGCGACTGTGCCCTGTACTTGGTTGAACCCCTCTGACGTTTCTTAATGTTCTGTATTTGTTCGTAGCATTAGGCCAACATGTATCATGCAGAGCCGTATGAGTACATTTCTCTGGTGTATTTTGGTGTTTAATGAATCCAGTTGCTCAACTGCTTGGTTGAAAACGTTGCTTATTTTTTAACGCAATGGTTAAATTTTGCTCCCTTTTTCTACCTGTGGGCTGGGCCTTGCTTAGAACCAAGGAAAGAAAGACATTTTTCAGGGACAGCCAGTCCGAAGGCCAGTTTTACACTGATTGTATGGAATTTGACATTTTGGTACTATTTTTGCGAGTCAGATTTTGTGTATTCTAAGGACATGGCTGCTGTAGAATAGCACATAAATGCATGATGCCTTCTCCCCAGAGCAGCGTGACAAAATGCCTTGGCGAGCACTTAGAAGGTAAATTGCAGTTCTGTTGAAACAAAGGAAAATCCCTCGGTAAAGACACAGCCTGTTGGGTTTGTGGGTGGCCCCAGTATATTCCCTGGGGGAATGGCTGGGTTTTTTTCCTGCACCCTGCCTCCATCTTTTCTTACAGGTGGGAAGGAAAATAAGCAGCTTTCTGATCCTCCTGATGGCAAGTGTGTGGAAGTCATTTAAGAAGGGACTCCCTGCTACCTCAGGTTTTTCAGCAGCATAGGGCCTGGGCTTCTCCCCAAAAGGCTATCTCGAAGCCCCCTCTACTCCCTGAGTTTCTGGGTGGAGCCTGGTCAGTGCAGTGGAAAAACTCCCGCCCTGTCATTTGCAGTACCATGCCCACCCTCTGAGAGGGAATTCAAGTCTGCCCCATGCCCCAAGTCTGCCCCCACCAGGCAGATCACAGGACCCTGGCTTCTGCGTGACTTCTTCCCACAGTGTCCCTCTTGGGCATTCTGATCCTCGTTAGACATCGTTTTGTGGCCTTGGGCACATTACTCAAAGTTTCAGAGCATGGGTTTTCTCTACAACGAACTGCATGTTCTATGTATGTCACAGGGGGTGAGGGTGAGGTGGGATGATTACATGATACAGCAGGCAGACTGCTGCATACAGGGCCCCAGTACACAGGACTCTAGTTGCAGACACGTGGGAGAGGACATGCTGGCTCCAGTTGGATGTCACGTGTCGTGAGAGTCTGATGTGAACGAGCCGCAAAAGTGGAGGGACATGGGGAGCCTTTAGAAAAGGGTGATCCCGGGACCAGTGGGTGGCGTAATGGTTACGTTGCTGGACTCCCATGTGGTCAGCTGTGGTTCTAGTGCCAGACCCCGTGGCTTCAAACTCACACTGGCCATGTGTGCCTGCATGCCCAAAATCCCGAGAGGAGAATGGAGGAGAAGGATGTGGCCGTCCTCCTTGGGGGTGATTTCTTGCTTTTTGTCTCTCTAGTGAGTACATGCGCCCTATAGCAAAAATGCCTTACAAAAAAAAAAAAAAAGGCAGGCGGTGATCTCAAGTATTTCGTGTGCTCTGGTTTTAGCAGCAGGACCCTCGGCTGGTCATCAGGGGCCCCAGGTGCCGGGGGCTGCCTGGGCCACTTCCTGGGCCACAGCCAGCCTCACCCAGGCCAGTTCAGATCCATATCCAGGACAGTGGACACACCGCGTCTGCTTCCCCAGCTGTCCTCTGCTCACCCAGGTGGTCTGGGGGCCAGCAGCAATTTCTTATTTCCACTCACCTTTCCCACTTCACTCATGCCTGGGAGACAGGTGGCAGGAGATGGCGCATCTTCACCCTGGAAGGGGAGTGGTACGAGTCAGCTCCTGGCACCATCCACGCTGGGGTAGAGCTTCTCACCAGGCCAGGGAGGCAGCTGCCTGTTGCCGGTACTGCTCACTGGTGCTCTCTAACCCTGCACTCGCTGAAGAAAGGCCTGCTGTGAGCCACACACACACACACACCATGCTGTCATGCTCAGACTCTCATGCCCACGCTCATGCACTGCTGCGGTTCGGGTTCCGAGATCGTGGACTGGAACGTGGTCGTGTTGGGAAGGTGCAGAGAGGAGACAGTCTGGTCATGATGTTGAAAGGTGGGGCCTTTGGGAGGCAGTTACTAACTGGGTACTCCTGGGTTAGGTGGAGACACAGGCAGGAACACGGCCACAGACGAGCTCTGCTCTCCTCGAGCCCCGCGTGGCCTCAGCACCCACCAAGAACCTTGCCGGTTATGGACTCTTGACCTCCGACCTCCAAAGCATGAGCTGAATAAATGTCTGCTCTTATAAATCACTCAGTTTCAGGTACTCAGTTGTTAGCTACACGGCAGACTAATACACACTCACGTGCATACTCACATGTACACACACATGCACACTTGCGTGTACACACACGTACACATACGCTTCCTCCTCCGCCTCCTGCAGGTCCACTTGAGGGCTGTCTTCGGGGGACGCCTGTCTCGCCCCAGGGTGATCACATGCTTCCCTCTCGAGAGCACCCACAGGGACTCTGTCCTACCCTGTATCAGCGAGTCTGCAGGGGCAGCTGGATCTCGGACTTCTGCCTTTTAAAGATTTGAGGTTGTCGGGAAAGTAATGACTTTTTTCCCCCTATGTTTTTCTGTGCAAAAATGCACCCTGACTTTTCTGGCAGGCCAGTCTTTCTTATTATAGACTCTGAAGGGCACTGAAGTGTAGAGAAGCGTATGTAAAACCTCTCGCTTGTACCTGTCACCCGACTTCGACGATGACCGACTTTCTGCAGTTTTCTTGATCTCTTTCCTCCTTTCATTTCCTTTTGTTTTGCAGGAGTATTTTTTTGTTTGTTCGCTTGCTACAGAGCATGTGCACTCACTGGGGAGAGACAGAAAGAGAGAGGAGGGGGAAAAGTGAGCAATCACTTCCCAGGGGTAGAGGCCATGCCACGACCCCTTTTCCTCGATTCTCCTCTCGGGATTTTGGGCATGCATTTTCAAGTTACCAGGTCTGGGACTTGAACCTTTTAGTCAGCCGTGTGGGAGCCAGCTGCCTTAACCTCCACACCACCTGCACGTGAGCCAGGAGCCAGCTTGTACCCCCCCTCTGCTGAGATGAATATTTTTTTTTTTTAAGAATTTTTTTAATTGCCAAAGGGCATGTGCACTTGCCAGAGAGAGAGAGAGAGCAGAACAGAGGTGGAGCAAGAAAGCACTGTCCATGGGTGTGATCATACCACAATCCCTTCTCTACTTCTCCATCCTGGACTTAGAGTGCGCACACACACGTGCCTGGTGTTTTTTGAGCCACTGGGGCAAAAATTTGAACTGTGATCGGCCATGCGGGATTTAGTTCCCTTAACCAAAATGTTTGGCTGTAGGCCCTCTACCTTCCAGCCAAATGGTTGGGGACTAGGCCCTCTACCTTCAAGCCCTGGCGTGTCTCCCAGTCGAGGTTTCTCCTGGACCCACACAGCCCAGGGCATGGCCTCCCTTACACAGCAAGTGTTTCAAATGTAGCCCCTGGTCATCCCAGGACTTGCTGGCCGAGGGTCATAGCCACAGTCACCAGGTTCCAGGCAGAGCTCTGGGCAACTCACAGCAGATGGTCAGAGGAACAGGCAAGAGGCCCGTGGTGGGACAGCCCCGCTGTGCACTGGCTTCCAAGACCAGCTGAAGCCAAAAGCAAAGAGCAGGAGACTGAGGAGGGGGTTCCGTCAGCCCTGGGCTGGAAGGACAACTGCAGGATTTGGCACTGCACCTACATTTCAGGACCCCCAACTCTTCTGAGATGAAGTGAAATTTAAAGTTAAAAGCTACTACTTCAGGGGCCAGCAGGTAGCATGATGGTTAATGTGCTGGATTCCCACATGATCGACCATGGTTCAAGTCCTGGACCCGGTGTCTTGACTATCATGCTAGGCGTGTGTGTGTGTGTGTGTGTGTGTGTGTGTGTGTGCCCAAAATCCCAAGAGAATGGAGGAGAGGGGATTGCAGTGTGGCCATCCCCCTCTGGCAGTAATTCTCACTTTGATGCTCTCGGTCTCCAGTAAGAACACGTGTCCTACGACAAGAACAAATAAACAATAACAACAACAAACTACTAGTAGTCTGAGTGCAGGGTATTCAGTAGTGTCCCCTGAAAAGTTAAGACCAAGTCCACCCCACTGCAAATGGGACCTGATTTGGAAGTAGGATGTTCAATCAAGCTAAGGATCTCAGTACAGGATCTTGGGGTAAAGGTAAGCCCTAAACCCAATGGCTGCTGTCCTTCTAAGAGAAAGAAGGGATCTGACAGAGACCCAGAGGGGAAGGTGACGTTACCGTGTGATGAAGGGTGACACGTCCACAAGCCATGGAACCGAGGGTCACTGGCATCCACCAGAGCTGGGAGCTGTGGGAAGGGTTCTCCCAGAGCCCCCAAGGGAACCAGTCCTGCGCTGTGACCTCTGGCTTCTGCCTCCAGAACTGTGTGAGAATGGATTCGTCTTGTCGAGCCGCCGTGTGTGGGAACGGCAGCCCTGGGACGTGAGCTCTCTGCGTCTGCGTGTGTAGGTGCATGCAGACAGGCATACGCCTCTCTTTTTAAAATTCTTGCTCAATTACGCATCTCTCGGTCATGTACTGGTACAGACCATGAGTCCACACTGCTCTTTTGTCACGATTTCCAAAATGAAGGCCTACTTGAGTTCCATGTATGAGTCTCAGATGTCACCCTGGTCTGTCTTTCCGAGAGGTCCCTGGCGCTGGTCCCATAGCACAGCAGCTGGAAGCCAGGTTCCACAGGGCTGACCCAGTTTGAGTCCCAGCCCTGGTGGCTGACTTGCCAGGCATGCATGAGCCCAGGATCCTGGAGAATGAGAAGAAAAACCAGGGCATAACCAGACCCCATGGGGCAGTGCTTTCTCTCTCTCGTATGCACACGCCTTCCGGCTTAACAAAAGAAACAACGTTTTTTAAAGAATGGTCACTGGGTCTCCGGACCTTGCAGCCAGAGGAGGCGTAGAGCAAGGGACAGCCCTGAGCGGGGCTTTGCTGGCATCAGGCATGGTCGGCGGCTGCAGGTAGCAGAGGAGATGAGGCGCAGCTGTATTCCCTTGGAAAATGCAGCTGTGACTCAGCAGCCACTCCCAGTTCCCGGAGCCGCAGCTTAATTACTGAACCTCCTGGGACATTAGGGAGCTGTGGCATGTGCCGATAAGTGATCCATTTTCAACACACCCTATTC